GGCAGTTCAGTTACATCTAAGCAGTTAAAGATCAAGCTTATCGTTTTTCAGTAACTCCAAAAGGCTTTTGTTTTTTAATACAAATATGTGTATTTCTAGGCAAGGATATAGGGGTTTGACATTTGCTTGTCTTTTTGAAGAGTTTCCATTCTTGTGGCTAACTTTTCCTTAGGACTACATTTTTAAATTTGTTTTTTATAAGATAGTATACAAAATCTCCATAGTGTGTCTTATTTTTCCATACTTTTTTCTATGAAATATTGAGGACATGTAGTTTTATTTTTCAGTCTGTGACTTGGTGTTGGGGAAAATTCTTTTGTATTTTTTTTCCACATTGTGATCATTTCCATATTGTTTATCATTAGCAATTGTGTTCCTGATGGCCATTTGTGACTAAATTTTATGTGACTTTTGTTTCAGAGAAAATACTTTCCAAATTGAATTTTTGATATTTTTTAATTTTTTTAATGTTTGTTTATTTATTTTTTAGAGAGAGAGAGAGAGCAAGCAAGTGAGCAGGGGAGGGGTAGAGAGACAGGAGAGAGAGAGAGAGAGAGAGAGAGAGAGAGAGAGAGAGAGAGAATCCCAAGCAGACTCATGCTGTCAGCACAGAGCCCCATGTGGAGCTCGAACCCATGAACCATGAGATCATGACCTGAGCCAAAATCAAGTTGGATGCTTAACCGACTGAGCCACCCAGATTCCCTGAATTCTTGATATTTAGAGGGAAAAGTTTTCAACTTCGTAAGAGAACCTGTGTGAAATCATAAGTTTAATGGCTCTTCCTCACACTGCTAATTAATAAGGGAACCAACAGTTTCTTGTGACTTATTTGTCCATGATTTTATTATCACAAATCTTCATGGGTTTTGGTACCTTACTTTGATTATGCCTCCAGTGAGCTGTTTTATGAATTTTTGTTGGTCTTCCAAAAACTAGGTATTTTTAAATTTAATTGGAAATAAATCATGCTTTCAAAATATGACCAAACTTAAATCTAACTTAATTTTAGAAGTAAATTATTACCTAAATACTAGCAATATTTTCTAGTTCTGCTAAAATCATAGTGGCAGGTGAGCTTGAAATGCAAATCACTTGTTGCTCAAGACAGTTATTAGTTATATTTTCATGAATGAGAGTCCTTTAAGATATCATGGGATAATAATTAAGATTTTTCCATAGTATTTTGCTGTTAGTATTCTCCCAGATGAGACTCTCCACTTGGTAGGTGAACTGGATCAGTAATATTACTGTTCAGTAATAGTCACAAATAAAGTTGCGGAAAGATGTATCTTGCTGGGTATATGAACACACATACCCTCCTCCCATTCCCCCATATATAGAGAGCATATATATGCTCTTTCTAACACGCATAGCCACAGATTCCCACTACACTTTTTTTTATTCATTCATTTTGGTTTTTGTTTTGAAATATTTTCACATTTACATTGAACTTGAAAGTCTCTTCACCCAGAGACTCCACTCACGTTTCACTAACCATCTCAATAATGTCTTTCACAGCAAAAGGATCCAGTCCTGGAACATGCTTTGCATTTAGTAGTTGTGTCATTCGAATCTCCATCAGACCAGAATAAATCCTAGGTAGACCTTCATGACTTTGACTCTACAAGAGTACAGGCCTGTGATTTTCTACAGTGTTCCTGAGTTGGTGTGTCTGATGTTTTCCTATGGCTGGATTTAGGCTCTTCATTTTTGGCTGCATCGCAGCAGTGATGCTGTGCTATTCTCATTGTGTCTGACAAGGTGGTTAGTGACATGAATATGTCATGCCACTGGTGATGTTCACTTTGATCATTTGAATAAGGTGATATTTGCTAGGTTTCTTCAGTATAAAATTACTGTTTTCCCCTTTACAAATTGATAAGTGTCTTGTGGGAAGAGACTTTGAGCCTGTGTAAATATTTATTTCTCATCTACATTTCATTTACTAGTTTTAGCATCCATTTTTGTTTCTTGCCTGAATTATTACTTAAATGATTGCCAAATGGCGATTTCTAACTCAACTATTCCTTCTACATTTATAAGTTAGCATTCTGTAAGGAAAAGCTTTCCCGTCTCCCTGCTAATTTATTTATTCATTTATTTATATCACTGTGGGCTCTGATTTCTATTTTATTCAGTGAGGTATAATATACCATTATCATTTGTTGTTTGATAGTCAGATTGCCTCAGAACTGTCTGGGGAAGTCCCTGAAGCTCACTTCTGAGACACTCCCACAATTCCTTGAGCACATCTGATGTTCCTGACTTACCTGGTACTTTCTGTCCCAGCCTGGATACAAGTATTTCTTTGAGATGCTTGGGTCTGATATTTAGAAGCGAAGATCTGGATACTTGGTATGTTCCATGCTACTGGGGTGTTACTGCTCTCAGACCCTCTCAGGGAACAGAACCAGGTAATATATGTAGGCATATACACACAGGTATATTTTAACACACACACACACACACACACACACACACACACTTTTACTTCTGTATTATCTATCTATCCATCATCTATCTGTCTATCTACCTAGAACCATAAATTCACACTGATATATTTAACTCCAAAGAAATAGAATAGAGTTTATTCTAACTTTCCCCCTTTCCAAATTTGTAACTCCCCTTTCAGGTGGTGAAGAACATGATTCCAACTAACCTCAATATATTTATTTGTTTCATCAGTCTACCTCTATGTAACAGTCTCCTGATTCCTTTGTTGGCCAGATGTCTCACGCAGACTCCCCATCATAAATTCTTACTTTTCAATGTCCGTTAGTTCATTTTCTTTCTGTCTGTCTCTGTCTCCATGTGCAAGTGTATACATGCACACATACACACACTGGTATAAAACACTGGCAATTTAATAGGTAAGGAAACTCTGTCTTACCCCATGGGAAGATATAATTAGAAGCTGGTATGATATGAATTAAATGGACAGTATCCTCAGTTGGTGAACAAGTTAAAGACTGCAGTGATAGAAGTGCCATTTTCATTGCTTTCAGGATGCAAATGCTCTTGAATGACAGCAGTTTTTAAGTATATTTTTTAATAGTTAAGTATATTTTAAGTATAAGTTAATTCTTTCTTATAAAAAATCTCCACATGATTACCTGCAATGTGTTTTTTTGAATACTCTAAATTCAGTAATGAATCTTCTAACTTTTGAAAGGATATACAAATAAGGCTTCTAGTTTTTCACAAAGACAGTTTTCTTTTTTTTAATAAAAATACCTGAAAGCACAAGAGATTCATACGATGGAAGAGAGATAAAGAAATATATCCGCAAATAATAACAAAGGTTTGCAGTGTGTTTGCATAAGGCAAATGGTATGCAAATAACTAAGCCAAACTTTTACATTAGGAGAGAACGGTGTCTATATATTTGCAGGAAAATGTATTGAAATGCACAGAGTTGCTCGACAACACATGGCCTTGCCATATTGTTGTCAACATCTGAGGTACGGCTTTGCGAGGAGTTTGCTCGCCGGCTATGACTTTACTATTTCTCTCTGACATCGCTGTTGTTCGGTGGTTAAATTGCACTCTTCTGTGCTGCCATATTTGCATTTACATTACAGACCACAGTGTGAAGGATGTTTCCTATTAGTGAAGCATCTATGTTGATTCTTCATTGCTCTGTACTTTGTATCACGATTATGAGAAAGTTTGAGACTCACCTCGGCATATTTATGAGCCCTTCTTCTTTTGTGAGTGCTTCTCAAGATTCTTTATGCAATTGATGGCCCAAGAGGGAGAGGGCATCCTAAATACTGTAGGAGCACAATCAACTGGGGAAGGGTGATTAATGGCTAGGCTCCTAAAAGCTACTGTGTCCTACCAATATGCCACCATCTCTGCTCTCAGTCCCAGGGTTATGTTTACCTTTCAGACTGACTGGCAATTAGAATATGGAGATTTGATGCCTGATGCTTCTGTTCCTTAATTCAAAAACTAATAGGTCCTTGACAGGTTTGGATTGAACTTTTGAACAGCTAGCAAATGACCTCAAGTATATTTTGCTTAGGGACAGATTTGAATCCCTCAGGCTGCGTCCTGCTCCGGATCTGTCACTAGTGAGTGAGTCAGCCAGCTGACTCACCTGGGTTTGCAGCTCAGAAGTGCTGCTCCTTTCTGTTTTTTTTTTTTTTTTCAGTAGCCGCCACATGGAAAAGTATATGCTTTGTGGCGTTCTCAAACTTTAGCATCCATGAAGCTCTCCTGTCATATTGCTCCCTCCCCACATCCCCACATTCTTTTTACTTCCTTTCTTTTGTTTGGTAAGGCTCTTGGTCTGAAACCTGTGGTTTTATAGTCCACTGAACTTTTTCCAGGCAATGTTTCCTTTATGCCGTGATCCATCTTACCGTATATATTTCAATTCGAAAGAATCATGTATATTCTTTTACATTAGTCCAGTGCTTTCATCTCCGTTCTTGTCTGGTACTCACTTCAGCTTCTGTTTTCATTGACACAATTACCCGTAGCACCAGTCAGCTGTGTTGTAATAACATAACAACAGTCGGAAAGACCTGAGCTGAAAATCAGCTCTGAAAACTGCTAGTTAAATACCAAGGGTTAATGGTACCTATTTTTACCAGTTTATTGTATACTGCAATAAATAATATATTACAGTGCTCACCCCAAACCAGACATACAGTACAGATGGGAAATGTGAGAAGAAATTCCACCAGGCAGGATCTTTGACTCTTATGTTCACAAACGCCTAATACAGAGCCTGGCATACAGTAAGTACTCAGTAAATGCATGACAGCTGTTGCCATTGTTCTTACGTTGCCATAGCTCTCATCTCAATGCTTTGAAAATTAAAGATAGACAATGTGCATATAAAACACATAAATAAAAAGTCTGACACAAAGTAGGTGACTTGGCTAGGATGGTATTTTTAGAGACATATCATCAGGCAAATGATTGGTTAGCGTTCTTGGGAAAGCATCTTCATAAAGCCTAAAGGTCTTTCGTTTTGTCCTTCCCAGGCATCCTGTTTTCCCTGGTGGTGATGCTGTATGTCATCTGGGTCCAGGCAGTGGCTGACATGGAAGGCTACAAAAACATGAAAATGAGAGACTGCTTGGAGTTCACCCCTTCTGTTCTCTATGGCTGGTCATTTTTTCTGGCCCCAGCGGGGATATTTTTTTCTTTGCTAGCAGGATTACTATTTCTAGTTATTGGACGGCATATTCAGATACATCACTAATCAAACAGTTGCCTCCCATGTTTTCTTGAGCATATTCAGATACATCACTAATCAAACTGTTGCCACCCATGTTTTCTTGAGAGGTTTTAGAAGAGAGAATTTTTTTTTTTCATTTTGTTTTGGTGATCCCAGCATAGAATTAGTTGGTGAGCTATTTAGTTGCTATTTGAAGTTCACTTTTATAATTTACTTGTGATTTCCCCTAATAGGAAGATCCTAAATGCTTTCCCAACAGCCACATGTGTCCATCTCACATAGGTGCTATCAAGAACCTAGTTCTGTAAGGAGCAGATAACATGGGCCTCCCTTTCATTGCACCTGTTAAAGCTCACGCAGGTTACAAAGGCCTGTTAATGGCATAACACCACCACCTGGGCCAATGAAGCTTTGATTGAAAGCTTCCTTCTTGGTGTTCACTTCTGCTGCTATTAAAAAAAAATCTTTGGAGAATAATTAAGAACGGAATACAAATGCTGTCAGAGAACTTACTCCATTTCTTCTCCACACACATGCGTATCCCCATACACATTCACTGACTCCTGTGAGCCAATTATTTATGACTTAAAAATAGACAGCAGTGTGCTATCAGTTAAACACATCGGCTGAAATGGGCCACAACCAGACTGAGAAACGTGTGCTTATTCCACATTCTCCCCAACAGTAGTTTGGTTACTTACTTAATCACTTAGGTTACTTAATTGTGCATGCTTACATAAACCTTAAACTATGTTTAAAAGTGGCAAATCTGCACTGCCAAATTACATATGATGCAGACTGGGTTTTCACGAGCTCAGTGGATTAATTATATGTAACATGGCTGAAAATATGTAACAACCAAGCACCTTAGCTTAGTTCAGAGTTCTGTTTGATATTTTAAAATTCCTATTTAAAATTATAGGCTAATATGTTCAGCATGTGAAAATTTATTGATGAAATGTGCTTTTAATATGCACTAGCTATAAACTTTCAAAATATTTCCACATGAAATAATAGCCTTGCTGTATTAAAGACCATGAAATAGTAACTTTCCCCAAGATTTTCTAGGTTGTAGTTCTTCTGATAATTTGATTCCCTTAATTATTGTCTCTCAGTTCCTTCATCTTTACAATAGGTATTTTAACATTTACAGATCTGCTATTTCCTTTAACCTCCTGGAAGAAAACTTTGTGCTGGTTGGTGAATAATTCTTTCTTACTTGCTAGTGTAGACATGTAGATGTTTTGCATATCAAAGATGTTTGTTTGGCACTAATTTTCATTGAAATCAAATCCATCTGAGAAGCCCACGTTGCATTTGCATCTTGGAAACCTCCACCAAGGAGCAGTTTGGTGTTGGTGAGGGAACAGAGAACCTGTGTGGTATGAGAGCTTTGTTCTGGACACAGCATTTTGCTCTGCGGCCTTTGTGAATACCTAAGGCAGGACTCAGAGACAAATTAAGAGTGACCGCCGAGAAGATGCTGTGGGATAGAGGGGCTATTGCTTTCCATTCCTCGGTTCCCCTGATGGAGAGATCGCCTGTCTTCTTACACATCTATCCTTTCCGTTAACCTGTTTCAGTGGGAGGGATTTCTGGAGGGATCGCCACCGTCTGAGGTATCTGCAGAATCATGAGGGCATTTTAATGTTTAGTGACAGATAGGATTCGCATGCAATAAAAACCAAACACAAGAATACAAGACAAAAAAAAAAAAAGCTTCAGGGGTTTAACTGGTTTCTCAAGCCATCTGAGTTATATCATAAATGTTTTTTGTGATCCTTGCCTTTGTCTTTTTCTGTTTTCATTTTTATATTGCTCCGTTTACTTTGCTTTTGGCTTGATTATTAGAAAAATAATTATGGGTTCTGTTATGCATATTTGCTGTGATATTAAGTTATGGCATGCCATTAAGTTTTCCAGACGATGCTAGATGTATTTGATTAGTTCATGTCATCTGTAAATACAATTCCTTTTTGTAGAACTTTGGAATGGAGCCTTTTTTCTAGTGTATTATATGTCATTTAAATTTCACATACAAGCTGCTTTCAGTAAAGGTTTGAATATTTATAAATTTCAGATGGTTATCCTCGTTTTCTAATACACTTATGCGGCTACCATATATTTATCACAAGGCAATTGGCTGAATATCTGATGTGTATGACACTTTTACACAGATACACACTTTGGAAGTATTTCATAGTTGTAATGCATCAATCACATTAATTCAGATGCATTTCCCCATCTACTTACCAGCAATCTGCGGAAGGAAGGAAGGTGAGTTCTGTGTGCTGTGTCTATAAGTAAAATATACTTTAAAATAGCAGAAATATGCAGTATATTCTCGTAACAGCCTCATGTGTGATTTGGGATAGTGTGTTTGCCTCTATTCGGTGTACTGATTAATTTTCAGAAGCTTCCAAATAATATGTCAAAACCCTTTGTAAGTGTGTTGATTTGCATCATAAAGTTTCAGTGTAACAAATGAGATGTCTTTTTGGTGCCATCCTGGAAGGAGTGAAGTAAGAGGGCAGCGCCTCACGCCCTTGGACTTGGGGAAAGCTGTTGTCTTTCCATACTGTATTTGCTCTGGGGGTTCAGTTTGGTCGGGCAGCAGGTGGTACATGCACCGGAACTGGCTGGAAAAACTGTGCAGAGAAGCTGAATGATGGTGTTCAGTTTGGGGGTGGAGGGTACGACTTAAAAAAATGCTACTAGGTGTGCTATTCCTGGCCATTTAGTCACTGTTTTGACTAATATATGAAATGTATTTATTGAAGTTGAATATTAAATCCACTTAGAAAGGTGCATGGTGGATGAGGTGTCAGCATTTGGTACTTATCTGTGTATCTATCATCAACACATAAGTGTGTGTGAGTGTGTGTGTGTGTGTGTGTGTGTGTGTGTGTGTGTCTACCCAGAATTATAAATTTGGATACAAAGAGATAAAGTGAGTGATGGAAATCAATATAATTGAGATAAGCAAAATTTTACAAATCCGTTTCTCTCGGGGGACAGTAAGATAGCTGTATGTCCCTGAGTACCACTTTAACTGTTTTACTCAATTGATGATGGTCTCTTCAGTTCAGTACATAATTTGACGTATATTTTCATGAAAAGCAACCAGATTAAGCTTACAAAGGGGCTTAGAATGTCATAAGGATTAGACAGATATGAGGTGCCAGTAAACATAAGCTGTACATACATCTGTAAGAAAGTAGCATTGTGGAGAAAGACCCATAGTACTGGGCTTACATGGAAAGAAATATATCGAGTAAGAGGATAGGTCCCCAATTTGATTTTGGTGAAAGGCCACCAGGAATGAAGGGGCTCATACAAAAGAGATGAAATGGAAACTACATTTTTTGTTGATTGTCCTAAAGAATTAAATACATAGAGACATTTCCTCGGCGATGACCCAGAGTAGGTACAGAAATTCCAACAAAAACTTAGGAAGACAGTGTATTAGATGTTAAAAACCAAGGAGGGTGAGGAAATATTAAACGTCATACATATTATAGTAAGCATAAAGCAAGCTGGCACACTTAACCTGGTTGGCAGGATAAGAGGAAAGAAAGAACAAAGGTCCTACTAGAGCTTAGAGTTTCTGAGCTAGCTCCATCAAGGCAAGTGCTAGGACCTCTGTCTTTGGGAATGTTGAGATCAGCCTGGACCAGTGTGTGAGGGTGGGAAGTATTAGAGAGGACAAGTCTGAAATGACAGTGGAGGAGTACTAAGAGTCCAACTCTGGCTTCTCAGGGGTCATTTCTCTCACAGGCGTGTCCCCATGGCTGTGAACAATTGAAGGGGCAGTTGGCGGGTTGAACTTTCTAAAATGATATGCCTTAGGATATAGAGAATCATATATTATGTCTAACCAGTCGATTCTATTTATAAGGCATCTATCTGTAAGTAAACACATTAGAATGATTTTGAATTCTTCAAGTAATAATTTTTCTTGTTTGCACAAATGATAGGAATAGTCTCTATTGTTCTTATGAAATAAGTGTGCTTGGGGTAATTGGCATCCTGTATTGATTCCGAGTATTATGTAGATAATGTAGGGGAGAGAAGGCTCACTGGAATAACATAAATACATATACAGCAAACATTTTAATAGTCTCATTCTTCTGGGAGTCTAGGAGTTATTGTGACACAATTCACTGAAAATGTAGATAGCTCCCCCTTTGTGTGGCAATTGGGTTTTTTTCTTAGCATTTCTTTGTCCATTTATTCTAAAAAGAGACTACCACTGTTAAAAAAAAATTCACCAATGCTTACAGATTGTGTCGTCACTGCAAACCATCTAAACAAATAGGTATTTGAACAATATACCTTTAAAAAGAATAATAAGAAGAGTGATATATAAGGAACAATGCTTGTTGCCTTATATTTTTGTGCGGCATATACAGACACTATATGAAGTACTGATATATTGTCTTCACTCCCCCCCAACGCAAGAACTTTTTCCTCAAGAATTTTATGGGTTTGTGTAAATTCCTGGAGAGATGTCAAACAGAAAGCTGGATTAACCTATATGTGTGTGTTTTGTAAACATACACCCATGAACCTATGTATGGCTTTATTTCTGCATATATGTGTTATGTATGCATGTGTAAATATGGATTTGGATAACGCTGCATATACATTTGTCAATAGACAGGTCTGAACGTACATACAGATAGATGCATAATACATGTATGTTTATGAAATATTTTATACATCTATAATATATATATGTACATAACAAATGCCTACGTTTCTCTCATGTGCATACATACTTCTGCAAATGTCTGTCAGTCTCATAAGGTTTGCCGAAGTGGGGGCTTATTTTATTTTTATGCTGTAGCAAGCCTGTCCCAGGGGTGAGTGGGGGATAAAGGGGAGACTCAGTGAGTGCTCCCATAGCCTCTCTTCCTTGGATCCAGGGCATATGTGACGATGCATGTGCAATGGATTGGTCGTGTCTGACCCTATGGATGCCTAATGGCAATGCCCTTGTCTTTGAACACCTTCTAACAACTGATATCTAGCAATTGATAACCGCTAGTGAATATTTATGTAACACTAATAAGTTTTGCCAAGTAAAAGAGTTCCTTTCTAAAGCAGCATGCCTTGGTTGATACATTTTTTGAATGCCCTTACAGAAGGTTAAGCCAACTGAGTGTCTCATGAACTCCTTATCTGAGTCACCTGTAGGGAAGATCCTCTGGTGACTCAGGTCACACCTCTGGTGTGGTGGCAAAAGTTTTAAATCTGTGTCTGAAGACCGGCACGCCAATCCTGGATTTTAAACTTAACACTTTGAAAACTTCTTCCACTTTACTTTCACTCAGTAGCTTCATCTAAAATATTTACTCGTTTATTCAGCAAAGAGTAATTGTGAGCAGTCTGAGCTAGAGACTCACATCTGGAAGTCACCACACTGAAAAGCATGGGAAGGATGAGGCTGCGAGGGAGGATGGCTAGAGAGAGGAACTCTCTTTGCACTGGCGAACCCAGCATTTATAGGGTGAAGAGAAGGTGGAGCCTGAAGAGAGGCCAGAAAGAGATATAGAAGGGTTGATAGGTTTGGGAAGGCCAGTGGGGAGAGTGTTTTGAGAAGGGACTAAGTTTTGTACTTTCCCAACACTGTTGGCAAGATGGCTGTGACAGGGAAAGAAAGGGAGCCTCTGACCGTGGAAGCTTGGAGATTGTTTGTGACAATGATGACAGAAATCTTGGCATAGTGGTGGGGACAGAAGCTGGATCTGATTGGTGTGGGGAGTCACTGAGAGATGAGCATGTGGAGAATGCATGCTGGGCCGCTTCTAGAAAAAGACTGTCTATCTTCAAGGAGGGCAAAGGGTCATGGAATTGGAGAGAAGGGAGTGTGAGGTCCAGAGAAAGCATTCTTAAGACCTGGGAAAATGAGAGCGAGTTTGCCTCTTTTGAAAATCATTCTGTCCAGAGAAGAGGGTGCTGGTGTGGGGGAAGGACCATGATGGGGGTGGGGGTGGGGTCATGGGGCATGCTGCTGTACATGTGGAGGGACAGTGCACCTGCCTCCCCTTTAAGGGGTCGTATATTTAAAGATGTCCAGAATGGAGAAAGCACTCACTATGTTACAGTTGGTAAAACCACCCAACCAACACCTCCCCCCCCAAAAAAAAACCCCACAAATACAAACAAAATTCCTATTGTACATTTACCAAGCACTAGTTCCAACGTTAGGCATCGGGGTTGCAGAAAGTTGAGCAAATCACCTTGTATAGGTCAAATGTAATACCCTTCACTGCTTATCAACCAAGATATGAATCAAGCCCCAGGGAGTAAACACAGCATAAATATAGATCTGTTAAAATTTTGAGTAGGAATAGACTGAGTGTGTCAGGATGTTGCTGACTATCCAGAAGATTCCATCATGCTCGTGAAGTTAAATGCTCCCTGACTTGTTTCTCTAGATAAGTATTTGAGAAGGAGATTTCTTGTTTATATCTGATGGCATTAGTTTTATTCCAGTCTAGAAGAATCCTGGTGACTGTCAGAAATCCATCCATTGGTGTGATGGAAAACCTTGGCCTCCTGTTTTAAGGATAATCAAAACACATTCCGGATACTACACTAGAACCCTGGATTTGGGTTCTGCATTATTTGTTTTAGGTTGTCCGTCTCTGATCTGGGAAAATACCCAAAATAAAACAAAAAGTATAGTATGTGAAAGACGGTTGATAAATGATCAGAAAGAGGATTTTTAAAACTGACTCAGTTTGGATTCTAAGACATTCTTGTGTTTCTTAATTCATCAGTAGTAAAATCAGAGTTTATTTTTTAAAGGGAGCATAGAGGGATGCCTGGGTGGCTCAGTCGGTTGGATGTCTGTTCGGCTCAGGTCATGAACTCATGGCTAGTGAGTTCAAGCCCTGCGTCAGGCTGTGCTGACAGCTCAGAGCCTGAAGCCTGCTTCAGATTCTGTGTCTCTATCTCTCTCTGCCTCTCCCCTGCTCACGCTCTGTCTTTCCATCTCAAAAATAAATAAACATTAAAAAAAAATAAAGGGAGTATAGAATTTGGTTTTACTCTTCTGTAATTGGCCTGAC